TAGAAAACTATGGAACTAAGGTGGATTTCATGTAAGCCAACAGAAACTCCTAGAAAGATGGTCTGGCACCATAAATAGTTCTGCCTGGCAGAGAGGATTACAGAAGCTATATGAAAGAATTTACAACATAAAATAACCTGGACTTTTCCATCCCAGCATTGTAATCAGTAGAGATTGCAGAAGAGCAACCACACCAGAGGATTATCTTGAGAAAACTTTGAAGGAAGAAAAAGAGACTGCTCTTTGCTAGCAGATGGTGTATCACAGAGTACCTGGGCAGGGCTGAACTGAGAAGGTTTATGTGTGACTTGTGTGCTGGGCATTTGCTTTTCAACCATTCAAGTAGTTGACATGTAAATATTTTCTCAAAAATATTTAAAACCATACCGGTTCTGTTGTTATAAGAAATATTTTGAACATTATCTTTAAAATTCAGTATTTTGAAATTTTGAAAGTTGTCTATTAATTGTCAAGAATGATGGAGTATGGGACCAGCAGTTAGCGTAATGGCTATGTCGCTGGACTCCCACATAGTCGACCGCGGTTCGCGTCCCAGTCCTGGTGGCTTAAAACTCACGCCAGGCGCATGTGCGTGCGTGCCCAAGATCCCGAGAGGAGAATGGAGGAGAAGGGATTGCGGCGTGGCCATCCCCCCTGGGGGGTGATTTCTCGCTTTCTGTCTCTCTGTCTCTCTTTGTCTGTCTGGAGAGCGCATGCGCCCTATAGCAAAAATCTCTCCAAAAAAAACAAAAAAAGAATGATGGAGTATGAGCTAAAATGTTTTGATATGTAAAGAAGATGTGGAAAAATGTAAAAAGTAAATTAATTAATGAATAAATAAATAAATAAATAGGAAAAAAAAGTGTATTTTCTCACAGCCCAAAGTCAGGGAGCTGGCACCTGGCCAGGCTGTGATGCAGTTGTAACATGGCTGGGAGCAGCAGAAAGGGAGGTGCAAAGGAGGATGCAGGACGCCCTGGGGACACCTCGAAGAGTCAGGCCACGCCCCAACATCGCTGCTGCATGTTGACTTACAGCATAAGTCTGGGGACACATGCGCCACCCTTCACCCCTGACCTCCTAAAACCCTGACTTACAGAGTAGTCACGCTGTCTAAACTGCTTCAGCACCAGCTCAAAAGCCTGAGTCCAGAGTCTCCCCTGAAACTCCAGGCAACTCCTCTGAGTAGTGAGCCACCACATGGAAGAAGTTAGCTACTTCCTCCGTGTAATGGCCAGACCTCCACAGGCCGACATCCCCCTCCCAGTGGGGAAAGGCCATAAGAAGTCAGTGATGGGCCTGGAGGAAGCCTGAAACCCAGCACAAAAGACATTAACTTTGTTTTTTCTTACGTTTTTGCCACAAGGTGTATACACTCACCAGAAAGAAAGTGAAAAATCACTCCCCAGTGTGCGCAGCCATGCGAGCAGTACTCCCTACTCCTCCATTCCCCTCTCAGCATTTTGGGCACACATGCACATGAACCCGGCATGATTTTCAAGCCTCTGGATCCAGGGCTCACACTGCAGTTGACTATGTGGGAACCCAGTGCCTTAACCACCACACCACCTGCTGGGGTACAGCCAGGGAAGGCGGTGGAGTGTGGCTGTGCATCCTTCATGAATGTGCTTCATACATGGCCCTGACACTAAGTCTTGAAGTATGAGAATAATCTCTTTCACTTCATGTTCTATGTCCTGGACTCACTGGAGCAGGGACGGACCTGCCCTGTCTGGGCTCCAACAGCCGTGTCCTTCGCACCCACACCTGGTCGCCTTGCTGCTAGTGCCCACATAAGCCCTTCCTCACTGTCCTGGGACTCTCTGATTCCAGTGATCCCGACTCTAGCTCCCAGAACAGGCTTAATTCATAATTGATAAGTAACCTCAGTAACGGATCAAATGTTTGTCTCTATGAATAGTGATTCTTTTTGTTTGTTTTGGAGAGGGTTTTTCTATAGGGCACCTGCACTCGCCAGAAAGACAGAAAGAGACAGGGAAACAGAGAAAGAGAAATGACACACAAAAGGGGATGGCCACACCACAACCCCTTCTCCTCCATTCTGCTCTCAGGATCTTGGGCACGCACGCACATGCACCCGGCATGAGTTTAAGCCTCTGGGTCCGAAACTCGAACCATGGTCAACTACATGGGAGTCCAGTGACATAGCCATTATGCCAACTGCTGGTCCTGAACAGTGATTTTATTTAAGAATGAATAAATGTTCGATTTATGTGAATCTTCCTTTGAAAAAGCCTAGCTGACTAGAAAATGAAGTTTCAATACAAAGTTTTGATACTGGAAACCTGCTTACTATACACATATTTTATTTATATAGTTTGAAAAGGTTGGAATGATTTTCTGAATCCACAGCACAAGGTGGCACTTTATTTTTTTTATTTGCCAGGGGGCACATGGACTCACTCAAGAGAGAGAGAAAGTGAGACAGCACTGCCATGGGGCATGATCAGGCCACAATCTCTTCTCCTCTGTCTATCCCTCCTTCGCAGGACTTCGGGTGCACAAGCACATGAGCCTGGTGAGTTTCTCAAGCTGTGAAGTCCCTAATGCGAACCGTGCAGTCAGCCATGTGGGATCAAGCTGCTATAGACACCATGCCACCAGCTTACCCAGTATTATTTATCTTTAACTATTTATTTAATTTTACTTATTATTATTTTTTTAATTTGCTACAGGGCATGTGAGAGACAGAGACAGAGAAAGATGAGAGAGAGAGAGAAAAGTGAGAAAGCAAGCCTCCAGGTCCGGGACTCAAACGGGTTGGCCACGTGAGAGTCCAGTGCCTTAACCACCATGCCGCCTGCTGGCCCTGACTCAGCATTATTTTTTAATATTGGGAATAGCAGTAGGAACTTTATCATCAGAATATGGTGCTACGGTACTCAAGAGGAGACAGTCTCTGCTTGGGAACATATGTTAACAGCCTCTCGGTTGGTGAACTGCATCTTCCAAAGTCGGGACGTCTGTCGGTGTCAAAACACCGTGGGAAGGGAGATTAGCACTTCTAAAGTGGGAGAGAATAAAGTGTTCCTGGGTGGGTTTGGGAGGGGTATGGTGGGAAGAAGGAACTATCCGGAATACCCAAGTGTTTTTGTTTGTTGTTTGTTGTAAGCACACTCTCATATCGAAGTTATCCTGCTCAGAACTGAATTTTATGTAAAATGCTCTGAACTCATGAGGATTAACACGGAGCACAGGCCATAGTCAAAGAAAAGAAGCCTTCAGGGAATTTGTACACAACATTTTGGTAGAACTCTTCCATTGCTAACCCCTCCTCTGTAGTCCTCTGGGTGGCTTCATAGCTTCATCGAGGTCACAGATTTTTATTCCTTGGTTTTTAGAGAGAGATTTTGGCTATAGGGCACATGTGCTCACCAGAGAGACAGAGAGAAATGGAGAGAAAGAACATGAGAAATCAACCCCAGGGAGGGGGATGGCCATGCCTCAATCCCTTCTCCTTCTGTTCTCCTCTTGGGATTTTGGCCAGGTGCACCTGCATGAGTTTTAAGCCACCAGGTCAGGGATTCAAACCGCAGTTGCAGTAAGAGCCTCCAGTGCCCTGAGCACTATGCCACCTGCCACCCTGATGTCACAGATTAAATGCCTCTCATGATGCCTCCAAGTTGCTTGTTGATATGCAATCACACAACTCCCGCAGAACTCCCGCACAACTCCCGCTAGTTTTTTCATGAGTCTCATCCCAGCTTCATTTCTCTGATGATCATGCAGTCTTACAGGCTCCTCCTTCCTAATAGCCGTGAGTTCAACGTAGGCACGTACACGCCACTTATTTCTCACCACATGTGATAACTAGCACAGTATGAGGAAAGCAATGATTAAATTAAAACTCTAGTGACTGGATCAACAGACAATTGAGAGATCAACACTCCAGAAATTGAAATAGAAGCGAGGCAGTGCATTATTTTTCTATTTACGTATTTGCTTCTCAATAGTTATAAATGACATTTAATTCCCTTACTTCTTATGCTTTATTTGAAATTGTTACCTTGTTTGCATCTAAAAGACTCTCCCACAATACTCTTCCTCACAGCACTGAAATAGCAGATTTATTCAGTGTCTGGACACGGAGCATTGTCTCCACTGTGGACTGCACCACCCGTGCTGCAGAGAACACGTCATGAGTTAACACAGACCTTTCTGGAATCGAGATACAGAAGTTCCTCAGTTACGTAAAGGAACAGTATAGGCAAAGGCCATTGTTAGTGAAGCCATGGAAAATAAACACTAATATTTTAGTGAAAATAATAAAGCTGTTTTATTAAGCTTTTATCTGGAAGAAAAAATTCAGAATTATAAAAGTATATTTAATAATAGAAGTATAGAGTTACAATAATAATGTGTTATTATCTACATGTTTGTGCAAATCTTAGAAAATTGTACACCTGTGGTTTTTCTAAGGAATTGGACTCTAATGTTAAGTAGTTCGGCTGATTTCTGCTTGCACCACACTAGCAGAAAACCAGACCTTGCGGGTGGCTTGTCCTCCTGGGTCTGCACTCTGCATCCTCACCACATTTACGTGGGTGCAGTGTAAGGTGCGGCGACGGACTCTGCTTTGTGACAGCTCGTTCCGGTGCATCCCACATCAGCTGCGTCCATGCTCGCACATTTGCTGAGAACCACAGGAAGGCCCAGATGCTGAACATGTTGTTAGGAGCTGAAGAGAAGAGGCGGACTGGTCCACATGCTCCTTGAACACATTCAGCTTTAACCTAATCTGGGAAAGCATTTCTTTTAAGCAGGTCTCGGATCATCTACGTAAATGAGATATTCTCCGGAAACTCCCTCCCTCCTGTCACAAAGTCAGGGCACAGTGGGGAGACAGCTATCCCAGGGGCTCACACCTCGGACGTTACCAGATCAGTATTTGACCAAAGAGAAATGGAAGAGAATGACTCAAATAAGATCCTATTCAAAACTGTTTTAATCTTTACCACAAAAAAGAAAAAAGATGTCCATTACAGTATCACTGAAAAGCATTTGCAATCAGGTAAAATTAAGTCCCGCACCCTCACTAGCACTTTCTTCAGTGCTGCTTTTGCCTCCTTGTTTCTCAGAGTATAAATCAGAGGGTTAAGCGTGGGGGTCACCACAGTGTAGAAGAGGGAGACAAACTTTCCCTGCTCGTTGGACCTGCTCCTGGCCGGCTGCAGATACATGAAGATGATGGTTCCGTAGAAGATGATGACAACCGCCAGGTGGGAGGAGCAGGTCCCAACTGCTTTCTGTCTCCCAGAGGCTGACTTGACCCTCCACACGGCTCGGGCGATGTGGCCGTAGGAGACCAGGATGGAGGAGACGGGCAGGACCAGAAAGATGACACTGGCCCCGAAGAGCTCAGCCTCGTTGAAAGTGGTGTCCACACAGGCCAGCTGGATGAGCACGGGGACCTCACAGAAGAAATGGTCCACCTGGCGATGGCCGCAGAAGGGCAGCTGCAGGGTGAGAGTGGACTGCACCAGAGTGGTGGCTGCCCCACACAGCCACGCCATCGACGCCAGGGCTGTGCAGAGTCGCGGTGGCATTAAGGCAGTGTAGTGCAGAGGGCGGCAGACGGCGACGTAGCGGTCGTAGGACATGACAGCCAGGAGGACGCACTCAGTGGACCCCAGGGCCAGGGAGACGTAGAGCTGGACCACACAGCCGCCGTAGGTGATGGCCTGTGTGGACGTCCCCAGGTTCACCAGGAGCTGTGGGATGACGCTGCTTGTGAAGCAGAGGTCCAGGAAGGAGAGGTGGGACAAGAAGAAATACATCGGCGTGTGCAGCCGGGGCTCCAGACGCGCGACCAGGATGATGGCGGTGTTCCCCAGAATGGTGAGCAAATACAGGGTCAGAACGGCAGCAAACAGGACCTGCTGCAGCTGAGGGTGACCGGAGAACCCCAGCAGGATAAAACCTGTGAAGCTGCTGTCATTGGCGCCTCTCAGCAGCCCCATGTGCAAAGTTTGCTCCTGAGGGCTGAGGCATAGCTGAGAAAATGACCTCAGGGCAGGTTGGAGGGGTGCACCATCCCGGGCACTGCCGTCAGGGCCTGGGCAGCCTTGTCCTTCCACCTTGTGGCTCAGGGCTGCCTGCGTCTGATACGTGTGCTCTGAATGAATGCACCACACTACCTTCACCTCCGACCAGATGCTTCCGGAGAGAACAGGCGTTTAAGAACACCTTTGTCTTCTGCGGGAAATCAGTTACACTGTCCTCGCCTTCTAACCAAACTTACTGCTTTATGTTCATGTCTTCCTAGTTACAGAGAACTACAGCTAGAGACAAATACCTGAGTTTTTATTAGCAATTTTTAATTAAGGGGAAAATCATTTTTATTATACCACAAGTGTAGAAATTACTTGTAACTTTATGTGGTTAAGAGAGATAAGCTGTGAACAGCATTAACTAATAACCAACTCCCAAGAGCTCCCATGACAGGGCACAGGAGAGTCTTGGTAACCCATCGGGGCGACGCCCAGATCGATTTCCTCCAACTGCACACTCCCCGTTCTGCACCTGCCTTTCCTCTTTCTCCCTTTACCTTATTTACTTCCTACTTGTTTGCTCTATTGTACATGGTGCCAGAACCCTCCTGGCCCCCAAGCTAGTTCTCAATAAAGTTCTCTCTATAATTTTAGATGTCTTCTTACAGCTGTTGTTTTTGCATGGTTCTACTTGGTTTGATGTGTTTCGTTCTGCTGTTCCGTGTGTGTTTGGGTAAGCTGCATGTGCAGCTCTTCCCAGCCGTCTGTGAGATGCACGAAGCCAGCTCTGCGCAGTGTGCAGGCCCCTGCCTCAGGGCAGTCAGCACGAGGGGCTCAGAACTTACTCACCATTTACACCTCCTTTGTTTTCCCAAGTTAAGTTGACACGGCTGTAGATTAACAGATAGTTAATTAATAGTCAGTCAACATTGTTATCAAATAAATTGTGAAGCCCAAACTTCTGATAGACAAAACCTTACCAATCTTCTTTTAAATGAGAACTACCAAAAACTGGCATGATTCTACCCCTGGGGAGTTTGGGAGTTGATGCGAACGGGGCCCAGGAGTGACAGCCACACCTGGTCTCTGCTTAATTCTGATGATCTTCACCACAATCTTGTAGTTACAGAAGAGAAACACTGCAATGTGCTCATTATCAGCTTGTCTTTTTCCTGCCACTCTCTCCCATTAGGAAATACCAATTCTAAAAAAATGTCTCTTGCTAAAGGGAATGTTTCCTTTGCAAATTCATCTTTTTTAGGTGAATATTATGCAACACCAATTCCAGCCTGCCTTCTCTGTCATAGCATTCTTCTCCTGCCACCCTGAAAAATGTCCCCTGAGACTTTCATTGATAAACTTCTAAGTCACTGGTGTTTTTATTTTCATAGTGAAGAATTATTGCTTGGGTCAGCCACTGGGGTGGTGGTTAATGAGGCTGGATCCTACATGGCCAACAGCATGTTCAAGTCTCAGACTGTCGACTTTAAAAACACTCCAGTGCAGAAGCCGG